GGACCTTTATCTCGATCTAGTTCCACTCCCCGCCATGGGCAGGGACGCCTCCGCCAGACCAGGCTGCTCAAAGCCCTGACCAGCCTGCTCTTGAACACAGCCAGTGCTGGGGCATCTGCAGCGGCTCTGGGCAACCTGCGCCAGGGCCTCACCACCCTCATAGTGAAGCGCTTTTTACTAATTTCTAATCTAAATCTACCCTTTTTCAGTTTAAACCCATCATTCCGTGTCCTGTCGCTACAAACCCTTGTACAAAGACCATCCCCGGCTTTCTTCTAGGCCCCCTTTAATGGTTGAAAGGCCACAAGAAAGTCTCCCTGGAGCCTTTTCCAAGCTGAACACCCCCAACTCTCCCGGCCTGGCCTCACCGCAGAGGGATTCCAGGAATTACTGTATTTTGGTCACTGAAAGGTCAGTCTGGGCAGAAGCAGCAGAGGCCAGGCCGGTAGCAGCCTGCAGTCCATCCTGCGTGAGAGCTTCATACAGCTGCCTGTCAGGGCTGGGAGGAGCAGGGAAGGGCAGAAGGTGAGATGTGAAATACCTTGGTGCTGCGCATTTGAGTTTTTTTCCTAGACCTTTTCAGTTAGTTCTTTCGTATTTGTAAACATCAGTATTGTGAGCCATAAATGTTTAATAGAAACAGAATAAATAACATGTTGACATAAATTTAAAACTAGTGCAGGTAGTTATCTGATGTACTGGTTTAGTATATTTGTCCTGAGTGATGCAAAAGCTGCTAGAATAAATTTTCTGTGTTTGGGCTTGTCTGTGCTGGGTGTGCATCACCTCCGGAGCCACGTGGTTGATGGGCACTTGCTGAATTGGCTGTAACCTTCAGTTCCAGTCAAGTTTGGGATGTCCCTCGGGTCCCTGGGGTGTTCTGGAACGCTTTCGGTTGGAAGCGAGCTGTCAGACAGACCTTTAAGTTCTGTTTGAAAGCCTGTGTGTACAGAGGTAATCCAGCACTGCTCCCCCCGGGGTTTTTCCCCTCTCCCTAACCTGAAGACAGCCAGGCTTGAGCTGGGATACATCTGAAAGTGCTAGAGGAGGGAAACATCAATCAGAGACCATAATAAGCTTAGGTCATAAATTACTGCGTGTTTAAAACTGATTGCATGAGCTTTCTCCAAGTTTTGAGCTGCAAACATCCTTTAAGCTGATTTTTCAAGCGTTGGGGCTGCGGTTTGCGTCACACGTGCCTGGTGTGCCTCAGCTTCCCAGAGGGGAGCTCTGAAGAGAGCAGCTGCTCTGTTGGCGCAGAGCTCCGTGTTCTGCTGCTGAGGGCTTTGATGTTTAATTTCTGATAAATTATGTTTATTCTCCAACTCTCCAGCACTCGCTCAAGAAGCCAGGCTTTGATGCAGGCTCTCCAGAGCGGCCCGGGGGTGTGGGGAGGAACCAGTCGCTCATGCAATGAACTGGTCGCCTTGCAGAGGCGTCCTCTCCTGGTGTAGAGCCTGCTCTGTAGTGCTCCGTGTGGTCACACCGCGTTGGTGTGGCTGTGAGTGCCAGGAGCTGCTCCTTTTTATGAACAGCTACTCTGTAAAGTTGCAAAATTATGAACTGTTTACCTGAAAGGAAAGAAATGGCTTCTATGTGTTTGCCAGTTGATGTGTACAGTGGAGAGTAGAAATAATTGCTTTTAACAAGCAGTTAGTACAGAACTTGCAGAGTTTGCATGAGGACCTTTAACACTACGCCCAAATTACTTGGCATGGTGAACTCCTAGGAAAACAGGATCTGTTATCTCGTGTGCTCACCCTGGCTGCTGAAGATAAGAGTATAGGTATTTTTCCTTTCTGTCAATAATTTTTTCCCCTTTATGTTATTGGTGGTTTATCAGTGTACCATCATTGTGAGGGCAAGTGGCCTGTTTGTTCTATTCTCAGGCTTTCAGTGGGAAAGAATTCTGGAGACAGAGGGTGCAGTGGGGATTGCTTGGATGTTTTTAAGTGCAAAACTTATTTTCCCTCTTCTCTGAGTAGAGCTAGAGGGAAGGAGGAGTGGCAGCTGCTGCAGTGTGTGTTTGGGGGTGATGGTCTCACACTGTTCTTCATCAAAATAGATTCAGTCATTCTAGAAGGACATGGACCTGTTGGAGCTGGGGTAGAGGAAGCCTCAGAGATGCTGCGAGGGCTGAAACCCCCCTGCTGGGAGCCCAGGGTGAGAGAGTTGGGGTTGCTCAGCCTGGAGAAGAGAAGGCTCCAGGGAGACCTTCTGGTGGCCTTCTGGGACTTCAAGGGGCCTGTCAGAAAGCTGGGACAGACTTCTGAGCAGGGCCTGTTGGGACAGGATGAGGGGAGATGGTATGAAACTAAAAGAGGGAGATTTAGACTAGAGAGGAGGAACATTTTTGCTGCTGAGGGTGGTGAGCCCTCTGTGACATGGGCAAGAGCTGTTCCGTTCTACCTGGGTGCTGTGTTAGGTGGACTCCATCAGCCCTTGGGGTCTGGCTGGGGCGTGGAGAAGGGTCTCTGGAGCAGGAGAAGCTCAGGGTGGGATGGGATGGGAGGGCATGAGGGGGACCTTGGGAAGGAGGGCAGGGCCGGGCTGCGGCTCCTGGCAGAGCGGGATCAAGGGAGGGAGTGGGAGGAAGCTGGAGTCTGTCCCCAGGGCAGGCACCCTGCCTGTGGGAGCCAGTGAACCTTCTGTGCTGCTGGCTGCTTCACAGGGGCATCCTGAACACAGGCCGAGCCCTGTGCTGAGGGGACTCTCCTCCTGGAGAACACGGCTTCAGCCATTGCAGCTGGGTATCAGGGGCAGGTTCTGACAGATGTTTGGTTTGCAAAGCAGTTACTGATTGGTACTAAGTCAGAGAACTGGATAAGTTTGAACACATTTCTTTATTTGGAATAAAATTCCACTGGATTCCTACAGCAGATCTGTATTGGTTCACTTGTATACCTCGACAGCTGCTAGTGATGGTTTATTAGGAGAACCAGAGTGATTTGTAGGTGCAGATGTTAGAATGTACGACTGCTATTACCGTTGTTCTAACTGGGAGTAAGGCTGGTGCCTGAAGCAGATCTAATCAGCGCAGGTCTGTGGTTAAATACACAGGAGCCTGAAGTGCTTGAGAGGCTCTTGGCTGATAATTCATACCCGGGTTCTACCTGAATCTTCACTGCACGCACACTCATTCTTTTGATTTCCACAGGAGCTAGTGCAGCAGTAGCCTCAGCCATGGAGAACACGGAAAGCACGGAGGAGGAGAAGCCCACTGTCAGCAATGACAGCACAGACAATGGTGCTGAAGTGCCCTCAGAGGAGCAGCAGATGGACTTCAGTACAGAGATCATGAGTGTAACTGAGATGGAGCAGTCGCCTGATAGTTCCCCTGACCTGAATGAAGAGAACACCCAAGAGAGTGAAATTCCAAATCTTGAGAGTTTACAGACGTCGGATATCGAGGCAGGCTTCCCTCCAGATTTTGACAAGTTCTGGAAGGTGGTAGAGGACAATCCCCAGGATTTCACAGGATGGGTGTATCTGCTGCAGTACGTAGAGCAGGAGGTTAGTATGCAGCCCCTCTTTCCTCAGCCTTGTGGAAGTGGACAAGGGGAACCAAGCAGAGTGGGGGGCGCTGCAGTGACAGGCTGGGGGCTGCAGATGCTGTTGTAGGGGAGTCGCCCTTGGCAGCGCTGTCAGCAGCGCACGCAGAACGCCATCCAGTTGTTGGTAAGGAGGGGATTCATTGCTCTCCTTGTGTGTTTCTTGCAGAACCACTTGCCAGCTGCCAGGAAGGCCTTCGACAGGTTTTTCACGCACTACCCATACTGCTATGGGTACTGGAAGAAATACGCAGACCTGGAGAAGCGCCACGACAACGTGAAGCAGTCCGATGAGGTACGTAGGGAGCTGGGCGCCGCCGTTGCCACTGGTCCTGTTGGCCAAAAAATGACTAACCTCCCTCAAGTCATTTGGCTGCAGTACCTGCCATGTATGGTCAGGTTTGTAGGGATTTTGTTTGCACTTGTCACGTCTGTGGCATTTGTAGCTAATGTTTTTTCTCTTTGTTGGCAGGTGCGTTAAACCTCTACAGTTTGTCAAGCTTTGCAGTGCAAGCCTCTGTATTACACTGCAGCTTAACAAGTAGGGCAGGGCTTTTCTGTCACTTCCATTTATTACTCATTTTCAAAACAATATAGTTGGTTTGCTGGTCACAATTGCTACATCTTATTGCATTTTTGGTCAGACGCTGTCAATGATGCTCTAATGGGTCTGTGCCCTATGGTCTGTACCCCAAAGCCTGCCCACACAACCTGGTCAGAATGCAGGGACCGCTGCGCTTTGAAGATCAAGACTCTGCACGTGGAGATCAGAACATTGCCATGTTCTATCCAACCTCCACCCAAATGGTAATGGTAGATTATTTAAACAAAATTCCAGTAATTAGTATTTCTAAGGTTCACCGGATAACACAGTGTTGCCTCTCTATTAGGACACTGTTATGTATTTGAAGTACAGTTCATGTTCTCTTCATAGGTTTATCGCAGAGGGCTGCAGGCAATTCCTCTTAGTGTCGATCTTTGGATACATTATATAAACTTCTTAAAGGAGACCTTGGACCCTGCTGATCCAGAAACTAACAGTACCATTCGGGGGTGAGTTGAAAGCAGACTGTGTGGTGTGAGAAGCCCATATGTACATGCAGGGTGATCAGGTGGATCTGTTTAAGCCAAAGAATGAGCTCACAACAGCCTGCAGTTACCTGAAGGGCTTGGAGGAGGTGATGGAACCAAATCTCATAAGAATGGGTAGACAATACAATGTCCTGCAAGGGTCAGAAGTACTTAGTGCAACACTGGAACAGGTTCCCCAGATAATTTATTAAATTTAATTCCTTGGAATTTAAATTTAGGAATTTAATTCCGTGGAGGCTTTCAGGTTATGGCTAGAATGTGCCTGACCTCATCTGCTGCTGGCAGTGGTCCTGCTCTGAGCGAGAGCTCAGACTGAAGTTTGATCCCAAACCTTAACTGAACTGTAACTGTAGCAGGTTCTGGCTGCATGGTTGGTGAGTAGCTTTTATGAATTAAGCTGCTAAAGTAAGGGCTCTGGAATCTGTAGGAGACAGGAGGGGTGAAGATTGTGTGGTTTCCTAACATCTCCCGTTCCTGCAAGTTGCTTTTTCCATTGCCTGTGTTTGTTCCGTTGTGGTAGTGCCGGAGGAGAAAAAAGTGAGTGTGAACTTCCTGAATTTCTAGAGATTTTTCTACAGCTATCTTGAAAATACTTTGGGGAAGCATTTCAATAACAAACAGAAGCATGGTTGCAAGTAGATGAGGGTGGTCATGATCTTTAAATAAGAGCCAGAGCTTTTCTTCCTTGCTCTGTCACCGCGTGCAGAGACAGCTGTGAACTGATTCCCTTTTCCAGAGCCTACGAGCACGCAGTGTTAGCTGCTGGGACAGACTTCCGTTCAGACAGACTCTGGGAAATGTATATAAACTGGGAGGACGAGCAGGGGAACCTAAGGGAAGTTACATCCATCTATGACCGCATCCTTGGAATTCCAACGCAGCTCTACAGCCATCACTTCCAGAGGTAAAGAGGAAACAAGGATTTGATCAGTGCTCTGCATTTCTTAGGCACATGCTCACCTACTTCTGTGAGTGTGAGAAGGTTCACTAAGAACAAGAACTAGAGTTCCTTAGTTTTATACACTGTTTATGTACTCAGACAGTTTCCCTGGTTGTTTTAAAGTACTGACAGACATTTTAGGGATTGCGCTTTCGATAAAGTCACAAACTCTGCAGTGGAATAAAGGAAGGCCTTGGAATTGTGAGGAAGAAGAGAGGATGTCTTTGGAAAACCAGAATGAGCACTTTGGAACTCCAGTTCCTCATGCAGTGCTCACGTGTGGTGAAACACTAAAGAGAAATCCTTGGTTAAATTTTAGGAAGTAGACTTCTGCATGAATACAGAGAGGTTGAGAGGGAACCGGAAACCTTCGTTAAATTCCTTACCACTCTTCCCCATAACTTCCACAGATCTTTTGGGTTTGGAAATAAAACACCTTGCTCTAAAACTGATCTTGGCCTTTGTGGGTTTGACACCAGTGGGGTGTGTGTGCCCCCCTTGGTGGTGCAGCGGCCAGCCGGGGCTCGTGCCCGCGCGCGGCTCGCAGGGGGTTTGGCACCTGCAGCATCCTGGTAGTGCTGCCCTGTTTCTGACTGCCCCTAGGTTTAAGGAGCACATCCAGAACAACTTGCCTCGTGACTTCCTGACCACGGAGCAGTTTGTGCAGCTGCGCCGGGAGCTGGCGTCCGTCAACGGCCACGGCGGGGAGGAGGCACAGCCGGGAGAGGACCTGCCCTGTGGGACAGAAGACATCACTGACCCTGCCAAGGTAGGCACGCAGGGCATGCTTGGCAGCCTCTTCCCCTGCCCTGCGCCCGAGGAACCCGGTGATCTGCAGGTGGTTCCCTGTCCTCTGCAGCTGAGGGGCTCCCAGACCTCTTCCCTGCCACTGCTCTTTGGCTCAGGTGATAACCCTGTGTCTGCTGGATGTGCCTGCCCAGTGTTTTCAGGGGTGTTAAAGAACTAGGATTAAAAAATGAAAGAAGTGATGCATGCAGCTTTAGGAATGATTCCAGATTAACAGAATGAGGAGCTGTGGTCCAAGCAAGACCTTTACCAGCAATGGTCTCTGCAGGTCCACAGCCTTCACAGACGTGTGGAAATGTGGTGCCATCCAAAGGAATCGTGATTGAAAATTCATACGTACTGAAACCATGTTTGACTTGGGTCCAAATTCATTTTTAATTTCAGTCATCTTTAGCATAAGAGCAAAATTCTGATAGAGAACCGGTTCAGATGGGTTGTGCTAAGGGCCAGGGCACCACCCAGGCAGCATCCCACCCTTCTATCCCTGGCTGTTCTGGGTGGCATCTGTGGTGCTTCTCATGCCCGTGACTGTCATCACAGAATGTGCTTAAGAAGGTGTTATGGTGTCTTCCTGCGTTACATTTTTTGAAATTGTGTTTTAGCTAATCACTGAGATAGAGAACATGAGGCACAGAATCATTGAGATCCATCAAGAGATGTTTAACCACAACGAGCACGAAGTCAGTAAGAGGTGGACGTTTGAGGAAGCGGTGAGTTTGTCTCTTCTATCTCAGGCAATGTGCACAAGGGTTCCACACCTCAGGCTGGCGTTGCGGGGAGCAGGCCTTATGCTTTAAGCTCTTGTGGGGCTTTGAACAAAGATTGAGTTCTCTGCCGTTTTCTGTGTGAAAAGGCACCTTGGGAGGTCAGCTCTGTCATCTGATGATTGAAAAGTGGACAAGCAGTATTTGGAGTGAAGCAAGATGGTGTGTTGTTTCCTAAGTGGTTTGTAGTGTCCTGTGTGCCTGGGATGTTGAGGGGGATTCTGAAATGGGAGGCCTGGCAGAAAAGGAGAGGGGAATTCAGACTGGTTTGTGTTTTAACATTACACTCTTGAACCTGACATCAGTTCACTTTTGTTTTCCAGAAGTAGCCATCATAACATGCAGCTCCTGTGTATAACATGATAAAAGTAATTAGTTAATCAAACTGTGTGATCACTGCACACACACAACTTCTTCTGTGTAGAATGAAGTTGGGTTACTTTTGAAAAATCAACCCGAGTTTTTAATTCTCAGTCTATTTTTTTCTTCCTGGCAAATGCCATGGTGTGTACCATGGTTCTTGTGAACTCACCTCCCTTTTGAAAAGCACACTGGGAGTTGTTCCCATGCTCAGCATGGAGGCTGCTTGCGGTGCCACTCTGGGGGCCAGGCCAGGCAGCCTGGAGGGCAGGGGGATGGGCAGGGCAGCGTGGGGGGGTCACACCAGCCCCCTGCTGATGTGCCAGCCTGGCGTGCCAGCCCCACGCCTCACAGGGCTACCCAGGGACCACTTGCCTGGCAGGGCAGGAGGCCCAGCACGGCCCTGGAGTAGGGGAGGCTCCAACAGACTGGTGTGTTCATTGTGGAAAGTGGTGCTGTGAATTTGGGTGTTCTCAGCTCAGGAAACCATGGGCTACAAATTATTGTAACTTGAGAGGAAGCTGAAACTGTGGGACACACTGGACGAAGCGTGTACGAAATGGGGTGTCCTCCCTTGCTGCTGCTGGCCAGAACCAATACCTGTTCTACCAAGAGAGGATGTCCACTCTGTAGGTGGCAGCGTGCTGGATCTATGAGGAGCTTGCAGTGTAAAGTCAAACATGTCTTTATAACAGACAGAGATGAGGCAGACAGGCAGGAGATGTCACATAAGTGTCAGAGGCCACTTAGACCTGTGTTGCATTATTTGAGCAGGGCTGATGTGCCTGTGAACTTTTCAAAAGGGAAAAAGTGTTGGGTTCCACAGCAGAGGATCATGGAGGGGAGGGCTGGCTTTACGTGCAGGTGCCCTTGAAGAGTTGAACGTTGCTCCTTAACCACTGGAAGTTCTTCATCCATTTGTATAGCTGTCCCTCAGGTGGAACTGCAGTACAGGAGTACCAATAAAAACACAGTCTTGGTAGCTCTTGGGATAATCAGCTTGATGTAAAGTTCAGTCCAATACTCTTTCTTTCCTTGCCACGATTCTCAGCCACATTCTGCATTTGATTTGTAGGATAAGCACTAGTACAACAGTAAGTACTTGAGCTGCACGTGTGTGTGTGGGCAGTGCTCATTGTTCATAACAGTGCTGGTAGGTGTGACTGCAGGTTTGTGAGGGCTTTGCTGCTGCTCTGAGTTAGTTCTGAGCTCCTGTGAACCCCCGTGCACAGAGAGTGAGCAGCCTCGGGCGTAGCTGAGCAGCAGCTGGTGGTCAGCAGTGCTGGGGTGGCCCCATGGACCCCCCGTGGCTGGGTGGGGGTGTGCTGTTCATTGGGCTGGCGTTCCTTGCGCCGCGCGTGGCTGTTGGTGGGTTTGGTGGCACGGGTGCTGGTCCTAAGTCGCCCTCCCGTGACTCTTGCAGATCAAGAGGCCTTACTTTCACGTAAAACCTCTGGAGAAAATTCAGCTGAAAAACTGGAAAGAGTACTTAGACTTTGAGATAGAGAATGGCACTCACGAGCGAGTTGTGGTCCTCTTTGAAAGATGTGTCATTTCATGTGCCCTCTATGAGGACTTCTGGATTAAGGTAAGGGAAGTGGTTTACCCCCATCTCCTGCCGATTGCACACCTTGACCTAGTGACTAACCTTTTGTACTCTTGTGGAACGTTGTTCATCTATAACTATATCTGTTGCATTAGGAGATGGTCTGCTTGCAACCAGATTTGACTGCTGCATATGCCAACTTCGTTGCCTCTCTACGTCCTTCCTTACAGAAACTAGTCTAGTGGTTCAATAAAGGTGCTGAATGGGTTTAAACAAAAGAATTTTATCGTTCTGGCATGTTTTTAAAGACAAATACAAGCTTTAAACTTCTCCGTCTCTGCTCTGTTTTCAACTATAGTATGCCAAATACATGGAGAATCATAGTATTGAAGGAGTGAGGCACGTCTACAGCAGGGCTTGCACGATACACCTTCCTAAGAAACCAATGGTCCACATGCTGTGGGCTGCCTTTGAGGAGCAGCAGGGTAAGAGCAACAAGCACTTTGGCTGGGAGGGTGTCTGTTGGTGAGAGCCTGTTGGATGTCTCATGTCCTAAAGCATCTTCACTGGTGTTTTAGGCAACATTGATGAAGCAAGAAGGATCTTGAAAAACTTTGAGGAGTGTATTCTAGGGCTGGCAATGATTCGCTTGAGAAGAGTCAGCTTAGAGCGCAGACACGGCAACATGGAAGAGGCGGAGCAGCTGCTCGAAGACGCCTTCAGGAACGCCAAGTCAGCCACTGAAGCCTCCTTCTATGCCATCAAATTGGCTCGGCACCTCTTCAGAGTGCAGAAAAACCTCCCAAAGGCAAGAAAAGTGCTGTCAGAAGCCATAGAAATGGACAAAGTATGTGTTCCCTCTTTGCTCTGTTTCAAAACACAAACCCAAAGATCCTGGTATTTTTCTCTCTTTCCAAACCCTGTTTCTTTTTGAACCTGGCAACGATGATGACAGGAATTGTCACTGCATGTAATGTCCCATTACAGCGTGGAGACAGCAGTCCCTCTAAACTGACGTTGCCGTGCTCCCAGCTCCCAGCACCCTTTCCATCAGAATCACAGCGTGCTCCACCCCTTTTGCCTTTGTAGAGTCACAAATGCCACGGGGTGGTGGCGTCTCAGGGTGGGCGCAGCGGGTGGCGCGGGCAGCACCTGCCGGGCGCCATGTGGGCACGGGAACATTGGTGCCTGCAGGTCCCTGCAGGTCCCGTTAGCTCGCTGTGGCCACGCCTGGGGGCTGCTCTGGCAGCCTGGGGTCACTCTGGGGGTTTGTAGCACGGGGAGGGGGAGGGGGAGTGGCACAAGGGCAGGATGTTGGTGGCGGCCGCTCCGGTGCGTGCAGGGACCGGGTGCTGGGGATGTGGGGCCAGCGGCGTGAGCCTCCCACGGCCAGTGTGCCCCTTCTGACACCTCTCTTGTGCAGGAGAACACCAAGCTGTACCTCAACTTACTGGAAATGGAGTACAGTGGAGACCTCACGCAGAACGAAGAGAACATCTTGAGTTGCTTCGATAAGGCCGTCCATGGGGCGCTCTCCATGAAAATGAGGATCACGTTTTCACAGCGAAAAGTGGAATTTCTTGAAGATTTTGGTTCAGATGTAAACAAGTAAGATACAATCTGTGCAATGGCCAAGTTAGGGTCACCAAAAGAGTGCTGGGAGAGTTGGTAGGGTTAGTGGCATCCCTTAAATTGTGCCTTCTGTGCCTTCAGCTCTGTGCTGAGGGAAGGCTGCTTTTCTAAACCAAATTCCTGTATTTAAATAGGAATCGCTTTCCAGAAGGTGGTCCCTTTTTTGTCTGGAAAGCCTGACACTTGAGAGAGTGACATCACACTGCCTGGAACTCCTTCCTGTAGTCTTCTAATGTTTTACAAAGGAGGATTTCCCTCAAAGAAGCTCTGAGGTGTTTTGTGAAACTCCAACCCTGCTTGCGGCTGCTCAACGGTTTCCAAAGCCGTGTCGGTTTGTCTTGCAGTGCTCAGAAGCATTAAGAGTGCTGTACACTTGTGCCAGGATCAGATACTAGAAGTGCAACTTTTAAAATTACACACTAGGTGCACTTTTCTCCTCTTAAGAGCTTGTTTTACAATAGAAGGTGGTTGTGATTTACATTTGCGACTAATTAACTTGGGAGGACCAAGTCAGTGTTCCTGCTTTGAGGGGGTTTGTAATAATCCCAGTCTTCAGCTTCTGCTGCCTCTGACCATTCTGACTGGCATGGCAGGCAGGCGTGGCACGGGTGGGTCCTGCATGGACCAAATGAAACAAAGGTTTCAGTTCCCAAATAACGCTGGAGCACAGAAGTGCAAGAAGCTCTTCTCACCAGGAGCAATATTGGCAGCAGAGCAGGTCTCATGGGATCCCTTGGAAAGTGGTCTGCAGCAGATTAAACAACATTTAGTGGCAATTTTAGCTGGGACTTTTCTGTGCTGCTGTAAATAGGCTGCTTCTTCCCACAATGTTTGGGAAAAGGCTGCGGGTGCTACTGTGGAATTGTTTGATTGCTCCTATGCTGCTCTGGTGGCCCCTGCCCGCAGCCAAGGGAGTGCTGGCACTGGAAGGAGCAGCTGCGTCACCAATAAGTGGTAGAAAACTCCTTTATAATAAAGAACTTTATAAAAGAACCACCTTAAGTGGAGGGTGAGTACGTTGGGAATTCTGAGCTAACAGAAATTTGTTGTCTGTGCCTCGTGGTGGAATCAAATGAAGGTTTTTTGGTTTATTCTCTTCATGGTGGATCGCTGTTTAAAATGTGATTAGGGTTGAGTTTGGTTTGGAATATTTTTGCACTTTTTAGTAGAGATTTTAAACCAATTGCTCATGTGTTTACAATGTTTGGATGAACACAGGGAGCAAAGCTGTATTTCGTTTTGTCTCCATCAGGCTTCTGGATGCCTATGATGAACACCAGGCGCTTCTGAAGGAGCAGGATTCTTTAAAAAGGAGAGCAGAGAATGGGTAGGAAGCTGTTCACCCCAGGGTGCAGCACGGGGGGGCAATGGTGCCATGTGGGATGGCTGAGACACACACCATGCTGAGCTCCAGCTGGCATGGAGTGTTTGGAGTGGTCTAGAAATAGCCCAGAGCCCAGCCCCCGAGGCTCTGTTGTTTTTTTTTATTTAATCTACAAGTATAGATAAATTTTTCATAATGTATTTCTATTGTATGCATATTCATATTTTAGAAGTACCTTATATAAGTACCTCTTTATGTTTAAAAATATTTTTATATTTTATAAACATATATTTTTAGCTTTAAACCTACTGCTTGCAAGAACAAAATCACATCTTTAATAATTTAAAGTGCAGTCTCAGTCGGGCTATACTTTTGGCTCCAGTATGTGCAGAATGTTTTATTGGGAGGCACCTGTCTGAGTGACGTGTCACAGGATGGAGCAGCACAGGCACTCATGGCATAGGCTCACCTTCACTGGCCTGGGTGCAGCACCAGGGCAGTTCAGAGCCCAGACTGCTGCTGCAAAGCTTCGGCCTTTGCAGCATCAGATGATGCTGCCCCCTTTGGCCAGGGCACCAGCTCGGGGAGCCTTCCTGACCCCGGCCTGTCCTGACGTTGCCCATCCAGAGACACGGGCGGAGTTTAACCTGAGACACCATTTACCAGCAGCACATCTTCACCTCACAGGTCAGAGGAGCCGGATGAAAAGAAAATGCTGACAGATGACCCAACTTTGGCATCAGCACAGATGATGGATGGTGACATGCAGGTCAGCCAGGCAGCCTACAACTACAACGCCTGGTACCAGGTGGGTCTGGGGCCGGCTCGTCCTTCGTGGCGCGCACATCGCCATGACCTGGGGGCTTCACCTGGGGCTCGGTGCCAGCTGGTGGGGAGAGCTAGAGGGAAGCCTCAGCTCTTGTTCTCCTGGGTTCCTCTTTGGCCTGCCATCCAAGTGTTCGGAGTGTTTCTCCCCGGAGTGGAGTGGGATGAGCAGTGTGCTGGTTCCTCCCACAAAGGAGGTGGGACAGCAGCTAAGGCCCTTGCTGGCTGAGGGCAGTGGGCCTGTTCTGTGCCAGTGTTCTGCCCTGGAGAATCACCTCAGGGTGCCAAATTACTGTGTGTTTGGATAGTTACTTTCTGCAGCTGGTAGTTCCTGTGACACCTTGGCATGGGATCTGCTGCACTGGTGCACGGGCCTGCAAGATCAATCTGTTCTGTAACTTGTCTTTGGGACTCCTCCTGTGTGGCTCTTCATTGTGTCCCTAGAGGGGCGTAAAGACTGAATTGGTCATATCACAATGACAGGAGGCTGGAGCCAAGCGGGGGTTAGTCTCCCAAGGAACAAGTGACAGAACAAGAGGAACCAGTCTCAGGTTGCCCCAGGGGAGATTTAGGTTATCTCTGAGGAACAATTTCTTGCCCTTGAGGGTTGTCCAGGGCTGTGCCAGGCTGCCCAGGGCAGTGGTGGAGTCCCCACCCCTGGAGGGGTTTCCAAGCCGTGGAGGTGTGGTGCAGAGGGACATGGGGCAGTGGGGACCTGGCAGGGCTGGGGAATGGTTGGACTCCATGAGCTTAAAGGTGTTTTCCAACCAAAATGATTCTATGATATCTTGGTTTCCTCTTCTCCCTGTGGCAGCAGCAGCTCCAGCACACGCTGTGCTGGTTTCTAGGCTGACAGTCCGTTCTGTGTCCCGGCCTGTGCAAGGGCCCAGCTGGGGGGTCAGAGCTCCAAACCCCACCTTTCTGGGCGAGGTTAATACTGGCCAAGGGGGCACTGCTGGGGCCCGGCGCCTGGGATGGCAGTGACCTCCTGCAGGTGTGGAACCTTGTGGGTCACAGAGGGACGGGGGGAATCTGCTGGAGCAACTCTCACCACAACTGCTGTTCAGTGTGGGAGGGGCCTGCCGAGCCCACGGAGCAGTGCTGCAGGTGGGACACTGACCACCACGGCTCCCTGGGTTAGGAGTGCCTGCGTCAAGGTCAGGTGTTCTCTCCAGAGCCAGGCAGCGGGAGACTGGCACTCGGCCAGGGAAACACCCCAGGTTGCCAGGGGGGCAGGCCCATGGGAGGGGTGGAGCTGCAGCACTGGGGTTGAGGGTCACGCCATCGTGTCCCCCTGCACGCCGCAGCAGCACGGGGTCACGGGCACTCCCCAGGCACCACGCTGCCCAGGGTGCTGGGGTGCTGAGCTGGGGGGTGCTGAGCCGGGGGGGCAGCTGGCAGGCTCTGAGGGGCTGGCTGACTGACCTCCTCCCCTTGTGCTTTTTCCCTAGTACAACTACCAGAACGCGTGGAATTACGGACAGTATTACCACCCGACCTGATGCACAGAGCCAGCGGAGTTCATTGTGCTGCAGTTTCAACAAAGATGGATTAAAAAAAAAAATCTATTTTTCTAAACTAGGGCTGTGAAAGGACTGTTGTAATACCTGCTTCTTGGTCTTCTGCATGTGAAAGGAGCCGATGTCCACAGGGTGCGTGTGAAGCAAGATTTGTGTGCCGGTGACCGATACGTGGTCTCTCTGTACAATTCTAGTTTACCATAAATGCTTTTTTTTTTTTTTTTAAATTCCGTGCACTAATTTATGGAAATATCAGAAGAATTTTTTTCAGTCTCATAATGATTCCATAGGTTTAACCCATGAAGCTGTGTGGGGGTGGTCTCTGCCCCGGGGCCGTGGTGCCTCTCCGTACAACGCGGGGCACAGCGACGCCGAGTTCTTTTTTAAAAAGCACAAACTGTGTTTGGGATGATTTTTGTATTTAGAGTTTTTTCATGTACACAGCGTGAGCAAACTTTTTTTCATTTTGATCAAAGTGATCATTCCCATTTTTGTAATAAAAGCAAGGAATTCCATAGTGCTCTGAGCTTTCTTGGGTCACTTCAGGCTGGGAGAGCAAGTGCCGGGTCGTGGGTTAGAGCTCGTGTGACTGCAGAGTACAGGGCTCGGGCAGGGACCTGTAAAGCACTTGCAAGGGAGAAATAGGGGGGATGTTTTCTCCCCAACTTAAGCAATACCTACAATATAAATGTTTTCCTCATCTGATACTTTAACTGGAGTGTCTGGGCAAGTGCTGTGGCCTGGGTGGCTCAGCACCTCCGCCAGTGGGTCCCTGGACAGTGATGCCATTTCCCCCCCAACTACAGGCAAGAAGTTTCCAGGTGAGCAGACACACACACAGAAAGCCACACCACGTGCACGTATAAACTCTTTAGTGGTATGTTACTGTACAGCACTTGGGGGACAGGAAAACAAAGGTGATTTCAGTAGAAGGCCACAGCTGTAACTATCCTGAAGGTACAAGCGCAGAACCGCATGGGCAGGAGCTCTGACTCCTCCCTGGACTCCAGCAGCAGAGGAAACCTCTTTTCATTCGATATCTACCAGTTCCACCTCGAAGAACAGCTTTGCATTGGGTGGGATCCTGTGTGCCCGGGTTAAGGAAGCGCCAGGCCTGTGGAGCAGCTGCTCCCCGCCAGCTCCGTGTCGGGGTCCGCATTTC